CTCCAAGATGCTTATACAAGTTGGACATTGAGAAAGCATATGATTCCATAAGTTGGAAAGCTTTGGAGCAAATTATGGTCAAGATAAACTTTCCAGAGAAGTAGGTGAAGTGGGTTACGTTCTATATTATCAATCAATGGAGAATCACATGGTTATTTTCAGAAGGAGAAGGACCTTCTTTTCACACTTCATATTACTAATTTGGTGTTTGTTGATGATCTTTTCCTAGCTAGTAAAGCTGAAACTGGATATATCCAGATTGTTATAATTACCATTGATGCATTCAAAAGAAGCACTGGTCTAAAAACTAATAGTAAGATGTCCCAGGTGGTGTTTGGTAGATGTAAGGAGACATATCAAAGGAATATTTTAGAGATTACAAATATGCCAAAGTGGAGTTACCTTTGACTTATCTTAGAAGTCCAATTACAAGCTTTCTAGCATGGATTGTGATAAACTAGTGGAAAATATTGCAGCAAAAATCACATGGTGGAGGTCTAAGCATATCTCTTATGTTGGGAGAGTAAACTTGATTAAGACAGTTCTTATTGGAGTCTAAGAATTAATTTGAATATTTATCTCTAAATTTTGGATGAACAATTTTTCTCATAACATTTTATGCAATACCATAGTAATTAAGGGAAGAATATGCAAAATTCAAAAAACAAAATAAAACTGTAAGGTAAGTGACTACGGAGTATGATGAACCCGAAGAAATTGTTGAAATATTAATGCTTAAGGGCCTCTTTAGTGAGCGAACCCGTTATGTTGATCTCTCATATCAAAATTCTAAAATTCTTGTTTGATGAACTGAACAAAAAAGGTTTTCTAAATAATATGACACCATTTAATCCCTTCTTATTTTTTCACCGAAAAAGGATATGATTTATATGTATTTCAAATTTTAATTTTTAACTCTTCACCAAACAATTATGAATAATATGATTAGAATTCTTTTTTATTTTCTCCAAACTACCTGTTGTTCGCCATCTCTGTAAATCATTTACTAAATCTTGATTTCAAATCTCTTCAAATTTTATTTCGGATATTAGAACTATATTATTTCTACCAAATTTGAAGACGTATATTAAATCATATCATCAAAACTTAATGAACGGGTCCTTAGTAAGAAACCTTTAAAAAGGTGAATAAATGAAATATTTTAAGCTAGTGCACACCTTGTTCAAAATGGTCGCTTTGGCCGAGTGGTTAAGGCGTGTGCCTGCTAAGTACATGGGGTTTCCCCGCGAGAGTTCGAATCTCTCAGGCGACGTTTAAATATTTTTGCAATTCAGAATTTTAAAGATTCTTAAATATCTTTGCTCATTCCGATTTAATATTTATTTCATTGTGTATTGTGGCTGTAATCGTTTCTCATATTTTATACTCGTACTGTGGAATCAATAGTAAAACGGCATATTAAAAGTAATTAATAAAGAAAGTAAATAATAAAGGAATTAAAGAAAATAGAAAATATTTGATCGTGCAAATAATTCATTAGCAATTTGGTCTTTGTAAGATTATTAAAATTTTATTTCAGGTATGTTAAGTATTTTCTAAAAGAAAAGGAAAATTAGCATGTAAAATTGAAAAAAATAAATTAAATCAAATAAAAATGAATGGTAAAGAAGCATTTGGGGTACCCGTATTTTTGTTGTACTCATAGCATCTCCCAAAAGAAAATGATCTTCAAGAAAAATTGTTTTTCTTTGGTCGGAATGGTATTGTTTTTTTAATGTTAATTTCTTTTGTTAATACTCCATCCGTCCCCTTTTAAATCGCATATTTCGTCTGTTTTAATTTTGGGACATATTTAAGTAGAGAAAAATTAGAGTTGGCTTTCTGAAAAATTGTCATTACTTTTTAAGAGGGATAACGATGAATGAGAAGATAATGTGGAAAATAATACTACCTCCGTCCCACTATCTTTGTTCACTTTTGACTTTTGGAACTGTTCATCTAAGCACTTTGACTCATCAAATTCTCTCAATGTGTAAGCCTAAATATAGTCATGTGTGATCTTGTTTGATTTGTTTTAACATATACATTATTAATATATAATTTCTATAATTTTTTAATATACAAATTACAAGATAAAATGGATTAAAGAAGTGCATTGGATGGTGTGCCAAAAGGTAAATGGACAAAGACAGTGGGACGGAGGGAGTAACTTATTTTAGGGGTAGTTAGGAATTTTACTCTTAAAAGTTTACGATAACAAGAAACAGACAACTTATTTTGGGACGGAGAAAAAAAAGAAAACAATCAATTTAAAATGGGACACATGGAGTATATAAAAAAGAATTATTTGCACTAAATATCACTAAAACTTAAGTCATTTCCCTAAATAGCACTTAAATTTTTTGTATTTCTTAAATAGCATTTAATAATGTCCATAATGTCCAGTGATGACAAATATTTACTTGAATAATGACTAATGCATAATGACTAAAAGTGATACATTGGAAAGAAAAACACATGTGATGCTATTTAGAGAAAGTCATTATGTTTTAGTGCTATTTAAGTAAATTCTTCATATAAAAACTAATATTGGAAAACATGTTTTGAGATAGTTTAATACTCCCTCCGTCCCAAATTATAATGCTTGTTCACAGGGTCAAACTTCATTCACTTTCTTTCTCTATTTTCGTTAGCAATTTGATAAAATAAAATATTATTGTCACTACTAGTTTTATAGATCTTTTGATATAGTTTTTTAATATATAATTTTTATTTTTTAATTCTATACCATTTTTCATATAAAATGGTTGGAAAATAATTTCAGTCAAACATCGTAAACCGAAACAGGCATTATAAAATGGGACGGAGGTAGTAATATTTTAGTAGTAGGGGGCGATGCATG